GACCGAGAGCTGCCGCACGTCCAGGTTGGAGACGTTGTTGACGTAGCAGTGGGGAAGGGTCTTCTCGGGGGCGGGGCTTTCCTGTGACACAGGGAAAGGGGGCACAGGTCAGAGCAGCCCAGGGATGGGAACCCTGCTCCCCCCAAGCTTCCCACGAGGGGATCTTGGCCCTGCAGGGACTCCCACAGGACCTCACCACCCTCCCAGCCCTGCGAGGAGCCCCCCAACCCCTTCCATGCAACCCTGGGAGACCCAGCCCCAACTCCACGGGGGTCCCTGACCCCTCAGGAAACCCCCTCCACCATCACTGGGGCACCTCCAGGGACACCCACCCACCTCTTGGTCCCAAAGGTGTGTCCCCCCATGTAGCCACAGCCTCACAGACACCCCAGTACCCCTCTTCTGGGGTGAGGTCACCACCCTGGGGGTCCCCCCAACCTGTCTGAGCAGGGTCAGGAGGTCCAGCTCTCCCTTCAGGCTGTATCCTGGCAGCACCGCGTCAAACTGCTTCAGCCACTCGGAGCCACCATCGGGCACCTTCCCGGCCTTCTCCTTGCCACCAAGAACCCCTGCGAGACACCAGGACAGCCCATCACAGGGTGTCCAGGCTGGGAACAGGCTCCAGCTCAGCTCGGGAAACACAGAGAAGCCCCCGAGGACACTCACCAGTCACATCTGCCTCCACCTTCTTGGCCTCCACCACGGCCGCTCGCACGGCACCATCAGGGAACAGCACCTCGTAGGAGCTGGGGATCTTCACGCTCAGCAGCTCAGCCATGGCCACCATCACCCCGTTGAGGTTCTGGGGGACAAGGGGGACAGGGTAGGCACGGGTGCCACCACAGAGGGTCACCCCAAGGGTCTCACCTCCCCCTGGTTGTCCCACCTTGGCGGCGGCCGCGGACACGGTCAACATGACGGAGACTTCGCTGCTGCTCCGGCCCTTCTCCCACGGGGCCCCCGGGCCTGCTGACCCCCCCTTCCCAGGGGGGCCCCCGAAGGGCTCAGCAGCCTCGTAGGGCTTTGTGTCAGGGAACACTGGAGTGGGGAGAGGGGGGGGTCAGAGCCAGATAGACCCAACCCCCCCAGATCCCAGCAGGAACACTGCTGGGGATCCACCATCCGGGGTGGGACAGGCCAGGTGGGGGGGACACAGGGACAAGTCCCTGTACCCCAGCTGCACGACACCCCCAGACCCCTTCCCCTCAGCCCTTGCTCCCCAAGGACCCTTCCTCTGCCCCCAGCCACTCA